GATTCCCCCATAATATTCCACTATTTTTATTTGATCCCCCCCGTAAAAACATTTAAAAATTGTGATCCCCCCTCTATTAAACATGCCAAAATTTTAACATGCAAAACACGTATCATGTTATTTCAGGAAAATATTGAAAATGAAATATTCTCAGTGTATTGAGTCCAAAAACACATTCGAGGGAAAATTGCCTTGCAATAGAGCTCTTCCATGAGGCCTCTTCCATGAATATTAGTAGGTAGAGCAAGCCAGTGCTTTGAATAGCTTTTTCTGACTTTTTTTCTAATTTCCTATATTGGGCTATTAAAGATAACTTTATCCTAAGTAACTCTGTAAAAAATATACATTAAAAAGTAAACTTTTTGAAACAGTAACAACACATTATTTACTTAGAGGGATCTATTATATGTCCCTCTCTTGAACGCTGCTTTAACTTAAGTTGTACGTACTAAGGCCTTATTGAAACCTCCATTGAGTCGCTAACTTTTATATGGATAGTTCATGCTTACAGCTTGAACAATTCAATTACTCATTTATTGTCACATTTCATTCATAAATGTTTGATAGTAACCTCAAAATTTTTATTTATTAGCCTAAAAAGTACAAATTTTGAGGGAGTGAGAGGTATACATGGACCCAAAGCGATCTTGTAATGAAACAAAAAGATACATTAGTGTTGTTCATCATCTCAGAATCATCTGTTGTATCAATATTCAACTGTTTGTATGCAGATTAGATGAATATTTAATCATTTATTGGAGAATTTATTGCTCTACACTATATTCTTCCATGATGCGGCGTGATTTGTATTTTTGGACAAAATTTTGCACAAATCGCTGTAGATTTCGTTTTAATTTATACTTAATTTCTCTCAAACTATTAAGCTGATTATAACAAAACTTGGCAGTAATGCTTGTTAATTTAGTGATTGAAGTGAGTGAAGTATAACGACTAAATTATTCGGATTATGAAGCACCTATGCATTTTATATGGGACAAAATGACACAAAATGGCAGTTTCAGATCCTACGTCACTAAAGTCTTGTGATGTCTTACTTAATTGTATATAAATGGTGTTAAAAATATATTTCGATTTGACTTTTGTAATGTTCTTCTTGACATTTTGTCTCCGTTGAAGTATGTGAACTACTTATTTCTATGTGCAAAAAATATTGATCCCCCACATTGAATTTATAAAAAAAAATTGAACCCCCCTTTTCTTGCGTATTGTACCTGTATCTAATGCAAATAAATTGGGTTTTTTAATGTGATATAAAAATAAGGAGATGTGGTATCATTGCAAATTGGACAACTATTTGCGACAGTTTAAGGTAGATCTATTGGGTGTATTTTTTCTGAGCGTCATTTCTGGTCATGTTGCAAAATTACTTATTTGTTTTACAAATAGTTTACCAAGTATCATTCAATATACAACAAAATACCTACAACTTGAAATTTAAAGATTGAACTATCAATATTTTTTTCAAGAAAATTAGGCCCGTGACCCCCTTTTATATATATATATATATATTTCAGAAGTAATAATTAACGAAATTATCTCTTCGAATTTTAGACAATTCTATCGTTTAATGTTTCTTCAATAAGGAAAACTTAAGTTTCCCCCTATATAAACAAAATAAAATACCCTAAATGTGGTTAATTTCAATGTATTGTTACGAAAAAACAAGGTCCGCGATCCCCAGTTTTTAAATTGAAATTTGAAATTACTTTCACCGAAAAGTCTTTTACAGAAGCTTACAAAACATTTATCGCCGAAAATTTTGACACCCCAGCTGCCTTATTGAATGAAGTGGATATAAGCAATTATAATAGGCAACCATAAGGCCATCAACCATGAGAAAAATTCCTAACGTTTATTCGGTTATAAAAGGCCCCGACATAGTAACATTATTTTCTCCACCCTCTCCCTTCTTCCCTAAACCTTATACTCTATAATTCTATAATACTAGTAATCTTCAATATTGATACTTGAGAAGAAAAAATTAATTCAAAATTGTATTCTCTACTTCTGAATGATACACAAAAGAACAACACAAGAATGTAAATTTCGCTATCCTTTCGAAATTCGAATTTGATCAAGAAAAAAACTGCATGTTCTATTTTTATCATACATTGTACATGTGTAGTTTCAGTTTCAACCATGGTTCTTAATTTAGATTTTGTTCGTTTTTTTTCTGTAACCTTTATCCTTCCACTTATGTATACATGATAAAAATGTTTCACTTGTGGTCGATTACCCTTTAGTATCGTTTATATTTTTCACACAAATATAAATTATCCTAAAATTTTCAATTGCTTAAAAAACGGGACATGCCAACGTCTTTCTAGTTCAACATACATATTTACATGCAATTTACCGCAAATTATGCGTTACCTTCAATATTACGCTACACTCACACTGTGAATTTCATTCAAATAATATTGTGGGATCAATTCTGGATTGATTTTAACGAGTATGATACGACTAGAAGCAGAATTGTCACTAGTTTATTTGTTTATTTTTAATTTCTGTTGAAATAAATACGAGCGGTATTATGTACCTGCTCCTGCGTGAGGCTAAAGCAAAAACAGTTTCAGACTAACACACAATAGGATACTAAGATCTAAGATATCTGATTGCAGTCAGCTAATTTCTTTGAAATTTTGACATAGCACAGGAATACTTGTTTGGGTTCATGATTGACCGCACAAAGTCATTAAAATGATGATTTCTCTTTCATGTGCCCATTTCCCGTTCTTGGAGTAGGGGAGATAACTTGCGTAACTAACGACGCACGTTTTGTATCCCGAATTCCGCTAGAGGCGTGCAATTACGTATACTTCGCCTTAAGTAATTTTATGATTTTCTTGTCAAGATAGCAGAAGGACAAATTGCTCTTACAATAGAACAAAGATTACAAACAAATTTTGAGAAAATCTAGATTCAAAACAGAAATGTGTTACATGAATCAGAAAAAAGGAGCATTATTTTACATTGACTGATTGTTGTTTGTTTGCATTCAGTAGCAAATATTTCATACATTTTTAAGACGAGAACGAATTGATAATGAATCAAAGAGATAATTTCTGCAATGGATAGGCCCGGATAAAGGACAGTAATTTTGAGTGCCACTTGAAATGAAAGAAAGTTGGATAGGGACAGAAAAATTATACATCCTGCACAGCTAAATGGATTCCCCCCTACATATAGGATGGGTTTTGCAATACAAGGCCATGTTTGGTTGTGAAGCTAAAATATGAGTATCTTCCACTGCCTCAAGGGAATTCTTGGATCTTAACAATCTGATGAATTAATACGACAATAATTAACCATTGTTAAAACCTTGAAAATGGATCAAGAAAAGACAAATAAAGGTGCATTGACAGTGTGAGCGTCTCCTGCTGTGGAAGCATCAGCCGACATGCGTATATCTGCTTCATGCTCTGATTAGCTAAATCATGTCAGTCAACCCTAATCATAGTAATGTGACTTTGAATATGTTGGGAACACATAAAAAAGAAATATTCATGTGTGTGCTTTTTGCGAACTCTATGTTGGTCGAACGTTAAGTGTTTTATCAGAAAAAAATTATTAACACATCTGAATGGGTCACAGATGGTCCGGGTTTCACCACATGTGGTTGTAGTCCAAAATAAATTTAGGATAAATGTGTAGCAGATCCTGCCATTCAAACGTGAATAACAAATAACTGTCCAGTTCGGTGCTTGTTGGAATTTCAAATAATTGAGTAGAATTTTTTTTTAATCATTAAAACTCTTGCAGGATTAAATTGCAGTTATTTTCAAAGATAAAACTGCCCTGGTGTTCGATATTTTCAATTGCTCAAATTGTAAATATTTCATTCCTGACATAAGATAATTCAGGCATTTTGTAAAACGCCTTTCAATTTTTCCAGGCATTTTGTAAAATGTCTAAAAAAAATAGTCAATTATACTAAATGCCTGAATCTAACAAACAGTTTAGAAAATGCCTAGAGTTTTCAGGCATTTTACAAAATGCCTGTAACATATATATATATATATATACTATTAATGACGTCTTTACACTAAATCCATTGCATGTTGGATGTGTTCTGATTGCACGATACATTAATTTAGTCTTAGATACATGATTTCTTTTATGAGTTGTTATTTGCTTTGAACTAGCTGTCAGTAACTGCAAGTACTCTCAGATCTGTACTTTGTGTCTTTCGTTGTTAGGGATGTATAAATACCCTGCCATGTCCGGTCTATGTTTTTGTTAGATCTTTTTCTGATTTGTATTGATCTGATGAGTTAAGCCATTTTCAACTGACTTTTATAGTTTGTTCTTATGTTGTTCTGTAACACCACTGTTCCAGGTTAGGGGAGGGATGAGCACTCACAAACATGTTTAACCCCGCCACATTCTTTATGTGTCTGTCCAAGGCAAGAGCCTGTAGTTCAGTGGTTTTCGTTTGTTCATGTCTGTCATATTTGTTTTTCGTAAATTGTTTTGTTATAAATTAGGCTGTTAGTTTTCTTAAGGCTGCACACCTCTGAGGAGCCAAAAATTTCTAGAATTAAACTTTTTTCTTAACCTGATTTTTGGGTTTATATGACTGTAAAAAAATAATTGGTGAAGAAAAAACCATATGGTGGTGCACTTCTTTTTTGGCTATGCCATTTTAGTACCTCATTCTGATGATTTTCCAATTTTTCATCAATTTTTACCCTTTTTTGGCCTATTATCATGAAATAAATCACAGTTTCACAAATAAACTTTTTTTCATACTTTCAATAAAGATGAAGTGGACCAATCTGGATAAAAGGTAGGTGTTAATATAAGAAAGTTTTATAAAATTTTGCTGCTTTTTCATGTCAAATATACCATGCTGTCAATTTTGTAAATTTGGAATTTTTCTCTTTTTTTAGAACAAAAAGCATATTATTTCAACTTCTTTGTTATAATTGATTGAAAAAAAAAAAAAACATATCTAATAAATCTGAAAAGAAAAAATTGATATGGGATGTACATGTTTCTGGTAAAATCATTTCGTGTACCCCTCACCCATTTTCTCAACATTTAGGCTAATGAGACTGACTTGATTGGTGATTAAATTTGAAATTTTTATTACTCAAAAACTGCTCATTGTTAATACACAATTTTTTCATACACTTAAGTTTGATTATAATATTTTTGAAATTCGTTGATATTTTCCACTTGTATCACATGTTTAAACGTCAGAAGAATACATCCTTAATAGAATTGTTTCATATTTTTTATGTCGGAGTCTTTTATAGCCGACAAACGGTATGGTTTTTTATCATTGTTGAAGGCCGTACGGTTGCCTATAATTGCTTACATCCACTTCATTTGAATTTGGGTGGATAGTTGTCTCATTGGCAATCATACATGTATCACACATGCATAGCTTCATTTTCTCTTTTATTTACATTCTTTCATAACTTCCCCTTTTTGATGTTTGCTTATTGCAAATACATGAAAAAAAATATCCTGATAGATCTAAAAATGCTAGAAAACATTTAAACCGATAGAATATGCACATAGGTAGGACTATATTTTTAACCATTAACATCGTTTCGTATCCATAAAACTGAACTGCGTAAAACTGTTTGTATATAAAATGGGCCTCAATGAACGTAGCATATACCCACAAACCTAAGTTTGTAATTGACAGAAATAAAAACATATTGGATATAGAAGATATTTTAGTTTTATCGTTTATCTTTTGATAATCTTTCATTTGGAGTATTAGGATAGTTTGAACAAATGTTGCCATCATATTCATTATATTTCCCATCAAATACAATTTCTCACGGGAAACAAAACTGGCAATCAAATGTAGCCCAAAATAAATAACTGTACCAAAAGCACTTAATAAGATTAAATAGTGGCTAAGATTCAAAGATGTTGTTGAAGATTTGACATGTTGTTGTCCTTTCCTGCGCAGGAAGTAAAAACATTTGATTACTGCCAGATAATTAAGTGATTTAAAAATTAGAAAGAAAACAGTTTGTGTTATATAAAGTGCAAAAGGTTGTTCATGGTCGTTATGTGACTGAACTAGCCTAATGACGACATATGGGGAACATATGATTGAACCAAAACATACTATTGATATCCACTTCCTAATTGGTCGTTTAGTAAGCGATTGCGCATTTACCGGAAGTTCCACTGAACGTGGGTCCTTTAAAGTTTGGTCTGTAGCAGGGTTGTTCTCTCCAGATCTAACTTTACAACTTGAAAAAATGTCATTTATGAAGAGGATGGCAAATAGTGCATTTTCAAGCAAAGTGGGATCTAAGAATGGTTTTATGCTATGATATACTTCGTATGTTATTGTTTGGTTTAAACAGTCAGTTATCTTTTGATGATCCCCCTTTTCCTCGAAGTACGCTTTTGTAGAATGAGATATAAATGTAGCAGCGTTCGTTACTGCGAGTACTGTGGCACCAAAATGTGTTAAACAGGAAGGGTAAACAATCCTCTTTGAGTACAGCATGATAAAAGTAAACTGCAAAACGTAAAACAAAGATATCTCACAATCATACACTATTCGTAGGATATTGTCTGTTGTTGAAGACTCTGGGCATACAATGTGTATACTAACTCTCATAGCATGAAACGTGATGCACGTCACAGTAAAAATACCAAGAAAAACTATTTTTACATTTTTTACCATGTGGGGAGAATTATTCGTCACATCACTAGACACTGTTTGTCGTCTACGGATCAAGATCAGGTAAATCAGATTTGCAACCAGCAAAAGAAAAATCAGTAAAACTCGAAATATAATACCATCTTCGTCAATGTTCAATTTTTCTGAGCATGTGGTGACAAACAAAACAGCAATAATAATTGCTAGAATGAAGGTAAACGAAACTAAAGATGAAATTTTGCCATCGCGAGAAATTCCAGGTCTGACGAAATCTCCAGCAGTTGTAGTTTAAATGCACACTGAATGCAAAATATCAAGGCACACTGACCTGGTGGGCGTTCTGAAATAATAAAAGTAAGAAAATATTGCATATTTAAAATCATTTATAATTATTATACAAAAATCGCAGGGTAAGAAAATAACCCGAAAACACTTTTTTATTGTAACTTTATTTTATATTTTATAGTGTGTCTTTGTAACATGTTGTGATGTTACACTATTATTTCAGATAAGGGTGAAGGTTTGGTACCATTATAACGTCTAAACCCGCTGCAATTGTTTGCACCTGTCCTAAGTCAGGAATCTGATGTTCAGTAGTTGTCGTTTGTTGATGTGTTTCATAAGTGTTTCTCATTTCTCGTTTTTTATATAGGTTAGACCGTTGGTTTTCCCGTTTGAATGGTTTTACACTAGTAATTTTTGGGGCCCTTTATAGCTTGCTGTTCGGTGTGAGCCAAGACTCCGTGTTGAAGACCGTACTTTGACCTATAATGGTTTACTTTTATAAATGTTGACTTGGATGGAGAGTTGTTTCATTGGCACTCATACCACTTCTTCTTATATCTATTCATGCATGTTGAATGTGTGAATGTCAGTGATGTAAAGAAAAATTAACAGAAGACTAAAGATCGGTAAAATTAATCACTATATCCCGCTCCGAAAGGAATGCTATTATATAATATTGTGCTGTATTTTTACATCCATAACTTATCAACTTCCTATTTACCGAATCGCGAATACTTATAAAAGGGATATCATTTTTGAGCAATAGCTCACAGTTCAACTTGTTATATCAAAATCTAGAGTCCTACTAATATTTCCGGTTAAAAACGGATTTAACCTTCATCTATAAATGGGTTTGTTCAGGGAAAGAGTCATATTTTACAATTGTGGCCTTTGTTTAAATTTTATATCGTATTAAATTATTTGTTTTGAAAATTGAGAAAATTTTATTTTCCCTCTGTCCGCAAGTTTACCAATTTGCATATCAACACTTAATGGATGACATTATTGTATTATTATACTGTACTGTATTTAAAGTAATGCTCCTTCTGTTGCATGCATGTTTAGAGTTTTTATCGTCGAATATTTTCTATTTCTAAATCAGAAATATATCCGAATCTTGTGGACGCTGTCATTTTCACCAAATGATAACTTATTATTTCTTCAAAGGTGCGCCAAATGTTAAAGGTTATTTTAACTACGAGCATGCATATTCCCATACAGGGATTTTGTCCACGCAGAGTCTAACAAAATGGAATCCTGCATCCGCAATCTAAATTGTACCTTTATTATTATGTTTCAATTACATCTAATGTTGTCGTAATGAATAAAGACTTATTAATTAATTAAAGACATTTTTCGTAAACAACAACCTGAAATGAATCAATATATAATATAAAAAAAATTCAACAAAGTAATGATGTTGTCGTGTTATCTAAAGACATGAGATGAAATTTTTTAATGTTATACAAGAAGTCTACCAGTACCACTACTTCAGGTTATTCAAACATACTACACAATTTACTTATCTTGTATTTTGATATAATAGTTTAAGTTTATTATTTTTCCTATAAATCATTTCCCGGCTGTTGAAGTAGAGAAATAGCGTCAAGTGAAAATATAAATGGCTATTAGCGAAAACGCGCGCAAAAAATCAGATGTATAAAAATAAATAATTTGGTATGATTGTCAATGAGACAACTTTCCACCAGAGACCAAATGACGTAGAAGTGACCATCATATTTTAAGATGTAAATCGTTATCAAGTTAAAGTAAGAATATAATCACTAAAAGTAACAGTGTTTTTTTTTCCAATAAAAATTCAACTAAAACAATAGACAGACGCCAAGGAAATGGACCAAGAAGAATAACTTACCGTCCACCACACGCTTTCTGCGTCTCATATTTGTTACTCTTCTGATTGTTCCTTGACGATTTCTGCTTTACACTTATGATCTGATCATTGTCTTCGGAAGATACAGACCCGTATGATATTTCAACGGGATTTGTACCAGATTCATTGTTCAATGTATGCTCGGGGGATCTTTCCACCGATTGCAATAAACAAAAATCTGCCATTCCAAAACCTAAAAATATTAATTGTATGGCATATATGATACAAATTAAATAGAATTATCAAAATTACTTCAATGAAATGTTTACATAAGTGTTTTCAAATGCTAAATATCTATGATACAACTGTACAATGTGACGAGTTAAGAAGTTGATTGAAGCCAAAACAATATAATATTCTAATATGACGTGTTTCTTTCGCTTTGTTAACAACACCGTGATAAAATTCTTGATATATCTATACTTAGCGCAGACTCAAAGATGTACATAATGGCTGTTACAATGTACCTCCCACGTAAATCCACATGTACCGACGAGCATTCATAGCAAGAACAAAGCATAACATAACACTTTTCCTGGACCTTCTATGATAAAATTGTTCAATTTAAACGCACGAACATTTAGTTATACAGAAAAAGATAAATACTCTATAATAATTCCGAGTAAAAACGTTTTAAGTACGCAGACACCTTTTCCCTGTTTAGGTCTGCTCAACTTCTCTCAGATTATTTGATGCATTTAAAGACGCAAATGAGACCGATACAACATTTGCATGATAATTCTATGACAAAAAATACACTTGATCTATCATTTATCAGGTTGGTTAAAGATAAAAGTTAAAAAAACCCTATTTATCTCTCCCATGTATCCATATTTAACATAGACGTTAAACGTTACTGATAAAAACACCTTTTTACAGTGTATGACCGAACTGTCCTGAAACTCCTGAAGTTAATTTTTTTAAAACATATTTCGATGTATCAAAATATCTTCTTGTCTTCAAAATTAGTTATAACATATAAGTTTTTATTGGATTATGTAAATGTAAGTGTATATCAGAATCTCATATATAAATGTAGCAGTTTTTAGAAGTACTCGCTCCACAAGGAAAACAAAAGAACAATGTCAAGTCGGTAAAGCAGTTTCATTAGAAAAATAACATTGTGATGTAGATTTTTCTGGTGCTTAATTTTAATTTTGTTTGGATAGATAGGAATACATGTAGTCTTATTAAATCAACCAAGATATGTATCATTCGAAAGTCTAATTATTGATCAGAATTATGGTGAATAGCTAGGATTGTTAACCTCATAAAGAAATGTTTAACCTTTCTAAAATAATATGGAGTGCTCGCAGTATCACAAATTTACGCCAGCTATCTGTCTCTATGCGTCTGTGTGTGTGTGTGTGTGTGTGTGTGTGATATATATATTTTTTAAAGTAGATGAATTTCTTCACAATTATGAATACACATTTTAAAATGTCGTAACTCTGGCATATCGATATATTTTGAAATATTGAAAGTTTGCACCGAAGTCACACAAAAAAGCCGTCTGCGTTATTCTCTTTCAGTTTATTGTCATTACAAAGACATGTATTTTTTTCAACTGTTTAATCTAATATTGCCTACATACACGTTTTATGATAGAAAAAAAACCCCGATTAACTGTTACAACAGAATAGTGATGTCATAAAAATCGGACAGTCGCATAGTTTTGTGTTTGTCGTCTTAAACTTACCGCAAATTTCAATTATCGGTCCCCTGATTTAAATTACACATTTCACAGTATTCAATACTTGTTAAGGAAGAAAACTAAGTGTATTTTCTATATTTAAGTCTTGTTTTACAGGAAGTACTAGCAATCTATTTTGTAGTGAGGAAAATCTTTATAATATGTCAAGTGGTTAATTCGATGTTTTTTCTACGTGTATGTACTAATATATACGTTCATGTGCAGTATACTATAATTGATTAATCGATGTTTATTGCATAACGTTTAGTGGCAAATATTTCATTCATATTCATAGTGAGAACATGAAGAAATATGTATTCTCCTTAGCGGTCATATACTTAAAAAAAAATAAACGATTTGTAATAATAATGTATAAATAAATTAATTAGTACTTAACCAAAAACTGTGGCTGCAAGCCGGTAAATATCATTACAAAAGGGACGAGAAGTATACCTTAGGTTTAAAAAAAAAGACAGACGATGAAATAGACCGACAAAAAACATAAAAACAGAAATACACGGAAATCCACAAAATAGGAAGTTCGTGTCTTTGAATAACATCAACGATACCAATTTTATTGCACCAGATGCGCATTTCGACAACTAATGTCTCTTCAGTGATGCTTGAGGCCAAAATATTTGAAAATTCAAAACTTATTCAAAAATTGAAGAGGTGATAAAACTAAATAGGACTAAAAGTATAGCAAAAGTCGGGCAAGTAATCAGAGCTTTGCACGAGGGAGATAAATTCCTTAATTAAAAATAATTTCCAAAATTTTGTTACATCAAATTTTAATAACACAATATTCGTATTTTCATGCCACTGGCTACTGGGCTGGTGATACCCTCGGGGACTAACAGTCCACCAGCAGAGGTATCGACCCAGTGGTAGAAATAACATTAACGGTACCAATTTTACTGCACCAGTTGCGTATGTCAACAATTTTAAATGTCTCTTCAGTGATGCCTGAGGCATTGAAAATCCCAAATTTATTCAAAAATTGAAGATTTGAATAGAACAAAATTAGTGCTTTTATTCCTGTACAATCTGTTATAGGTTGCAATTCTGTAAATATAGACAATGCAATTTCCCATAGGAACTCCCTTTGCGGCTAAAACTGTGACACTTTTACTATGAAGTTTCGTGAAAAATAATATCCTAGAACGGAAAGTTTATATGCACTACTATTTTATTCAAAGGTCAAAATATAGGGCTGTGCGGCATATTTTCAACATTTATATGCCCTGAACATTTAAGAGTTTAAACTTATACTAAAATTCTATACTACCCTTACCTCCATTTTTGGACCTCCTAAGAATTAAAATTTAGGCGCTACCATGTTTTTCTATACTGGTTACATTCCCAAGTGATGTCTCTACGATATGAAACACAGAGATCATAAATGGGAACCAGTACGTTAACAAATTAACATATCTATGAATATTATATATCTCCCCAAAAGAGGCGTGGTTTGAGAAACAGCTGTATTTACAAAGTGCAACCTATACAAACATTTATTCAAATAGAAAACTCTCTAAAAACACTTTTTCTCACAACAATACTTATTTATCAGAATTATAGCCTTAAAGAAATCACTGCATATACTCTAAGTTTCCTTTTACAGTACATTTTATACCCCTACCCCTGTTTCAATTTTTAAAGAATTTGAAAACAAGACTTTAATTATTGCCAGCTTACCCTATGTGCATGTTTTCTGACATGAACTGTCTAAAACCTGTTTGAAACTATTCTGATAACAAATTGAAAGCATTTTAAAATACTATAAATGTAATGTTTAGTAGTTAATCATTCCAACATTCAAGATTATACAAAGTATCCAATCCTGCCTGTGTCTCCAGTCCACATCTTACTGTATGCCTATTTGTCAATTAAAGTTCACAATTTCTGCCTCAAATGGTCAGTTTAGAATTCATGTTACAACAGTATCATCCCTCACCATATATCTAACATAAGTTAGTTAATATATGAACTAGAAGTGTTTAAGCAAAGCCATATTTGCAAAAGTTGTATTTATAAAGATATCAGTCTGGTGCATAAATTCACTAAAAGTTTGATAGAAATGACTGCTTACATCTGATTTTTGCATAACTTCCTAGCACAGTTATTGTTTTCTTTACAAAAGACCTTTGAAATAATAAAATCATAGCATTTAGAAGTTAAATTATCTGTTTTATGACACAGGGGGAGGCATTTTTCTCTGTTTTTTTGCCCCTGGGGCCTCACATTTCCTAAATTGTTTCCCTGTTTCTAGCAATATGGAATATTTGGTACATATTTAGGATAGAACACACTATTGTAAGTTTTATTGAGGTCTTTTTGTAATTCTAGCTTGTACTTTTTATGCCGCAGTCACAAAAAAGCACATTTAGGTGTTACGGCTTACTTTTGGGTTATCGACAGGACAAAAACACCCCACCAAAAATATTTAAGAAGGATCAATGAGTTGCAATGACTGCGAAGAGTAAATATAAGCACTTCTAAACAATTTAAATTACAAATAGGCATATATTATGAATTTATTTTTAATTCAGGGCTTTAAGTCAACAATACATACTGTAAACTGTGAATTTATGCTGACTCATCATAGTTTAGGCCCAGGATTTTCTCAATCTTCATGAAATATTTATAAAACTTCATATTTGAGTTAAATTCTTTAAAATCTCTGAGATAAACAAGATTTTGTCAAATTCTGTATGTTCTAATTTTTAACCCTATATAGGTTGCAATTCTGTAAATATAGACAATGCAATTTCCCATAGGAACTCCCTTTGCGGCTAAAACTGTGACACTTTTACTATGAAGTTTCGTGAAAAATAATATCCTAGAACGGAAAGTTTATATGCACTACTATTTTATTCAAAGGTCAAAATATAGGGCTGTGCGGCATATTTTCAACATTTATATGCCCTGAACATTTAAGAGTTTAAACTTATACTAAAATTCTATACTACCCTTACCTCCATTTTTGGACCTCCTAAGAATTAAAATTTAGGCGCTACCATGTTTTTCTATACTGGTTACATTCCCAAGTGATGTCCCTACGATATGAAACACAGAGATCATAAATGGGAACCAGTACGTTAACAAATTAACATATCTATGAATATTATATATCTCCCCAAAAGAGGCGTGGTTTAAGAAACAGCTGTATTTACAAAGTGCAACCTATAGAGGTAAGAGAAAAAGAATGAGGGAAATATCCTTTAAGAGTTTTACTCACTTGTATCAATGTTCAACAAGTCGATCCAATTATCAAGTTGAGATATAATAAACATTGTGGTTTAATGCTATGTTATGTCAATTATTCGGATCAAAGTTTCATTTGTGTACCTACATCGAACCCATGGCAAAAAAAAATGATAATGCAACATAACCTATCCAGCATTATTTAAACATATATTGTCAAAAAATGAAACTCGCAAGATGTGTTTGTTTGCCAAATATGAATGTTACAATATAAAAATAAGAAGATGTGATATAATTGCCAATGAGACGACTCTCCACCAGAGACCAAATGACATAGAAGTTAACAACTATAGGTCATCGCACGGCCTTCAGCAATGAGCAAACCCCATACCACAAAATCAGCTATCAAAGGCCCTCAAATGACAAATGTAAAACGATTCAAACGAGAAAACTAACGAAGTCTGTAAATGGTTCTTGTTATCGTAAGCCTGTGATTTCAGTCGGTTCTGTGAAGTTTGACCACATTAATGAGTTGATTGATTGATTGTTGGTTGCTTAACGTCTAATGGCAAATATTTCATGTTCAGGACGAGAACAAATTAACAATAAATACAATATGTAGTTTCTTAATAGGAGACCGTCCGGAATGAAGGTCGGGGAAATTCGGACTGCCACGGGCAAATGAGGGTATAGTGGATAGGGACAGAAATTTTACCTTGCAACAGGCCACCTACAGATCCTCCAAAGAGTTGTTGCAAGGATTCTTAACGTACAGAGAGCTTGGCACTCTCTCTACACGATGCATTGGAATTTACGTCCCCATTCTGACCGCACGTGACTGCGTACATGTACATTCCGCATAATATTTGGACCCAATAGATTAAGGACACCATTGAAAATATCATGTCAAGAGAGAGAGAGAGTTAAAGGGGAACTTAAATAATTATTACGGGGGAAAACCCTTGCAACATTTTGTACCAAACAGGAATCAATGAACAGATGATAATGGACAGGACCAATCATAGACTTGCAATATTACTAACACAATTCTATATTAATATTCTTGTAATTGTTATAAAATACATCAAATAACATAATTAGACACCTAATCTTGATTTATATCCAATTTTTAGAAATTTACCTGTGACGTTACTTTTTGTGGCGTTGATCCATTCGTGTTACAGACACACACTTCGTAATTCCATTAAGCTGTTTTTGTGTATTGTCTCAATTGTTTTAGTTATTTGTTGTTATTCTGTGGTTAACATGTCGAAATGTACTATTGTATTATTTATTTATGTATTTCTCTGTCTTTGGTGGTTTTGCATTTATTTGTACTCTGTTCCCGTCATGTAATGTTTTCATTTTAGCGGTATATTTAACATTGTAATATGGAAATTTTATAAATACAAACATAAATAAAACCTCAAAACAAAAATGTCATTGACGTAGTTCATCATAATCTGTAAATTACTGTTACATGTTTATGAGATAACAGATATTATCGCTTCCCGATTGCCATGTACTGAAGATATAAAATAAATGATATCTTCACACAAGAACTAAAACTGGGAAATCCAAACAAATACATACAATATACCAATAAGTATAGAATTTACAGGTTTAATCAAGGTCAAAGTGTAAAAATAAATTGAAAATAAGTTAATGGACTCTTGATGTCTTAAAGAGGAATGAAAACTTAATATCATATTCATTATTGGATAAAAGTATGTTCTCTACAAAATTGTGTTATAAGTATTTAAGTATATAGGTATATTTAAAGTATATCGTACAAAGGGAGACGAAAAAAAAATGTGCAACATCAGAAAAAAAGACAGAATAAAGAT